TTCTGTCCTCACACAGCTTCAAATCAAGGCCCTTCCCCATCCTCCTTGCCTCCTTTGGTCACTCTAATGGCTCAATACCTTCCTTACAACACTGTGTCCCCCCACACTGCCCCAACATTGCAGGTGAGGCCGCCCCAGGGCAGAGCAGAGCGGGACAATCCCCTCCCTCACCCAGTGGTGTCCCCCAGGACACGGATGTCCCTCCTGGCTGCCAGGCACTACTGACTCGTGGCCAACCTGCCAACGACCAAACACCTGGTGAGGAAGACTAAGAATAGTTGATAAACAGGTTGAGTGACAGGGGAGCAACCCTGGTGCACAGAGTAGTTTGGAAGGTCAGGAATGACGTGATGGATGGAGCAGAACCAGGGTGATGATAAGAGAAGTGGCCTCTTAGGTCACCCAGTGGGCTGACAATATAGGGCTGGGTTTGGTTCTTTAAGGAGGTGCATTTCAAAGCCAGTATCAACAATGATCCCTTTCCATATACTAGGTCACATAATTCAATAAATAACTGTATGGGGCCCTTGGGAGGCATTTTCTTATTCCTTAACTTTTTCCAGAAGTTCATATTTATATCCAGGTGAAATATCATCTCTCATTCCCTACTGCCAAGTATTTAATGCTCTGCCCAGAGCTGCAGACCCTCCCCTTTCTCCACAGGCCCTTAATTACTCCACATTTTGCTTTCCTAGGCAACCCTTCCCCTTTTTATCTGATTTCTGTTTATTTAAAGGTTTCTTACATCTTTTGAAGATGTCCAGAAATTAATACATGTTGGTGGAGTCTCTCGAGGGCGCTGTCAGCCCGACCTGCTGCTCTCTGACCCAAATCCTCTGGGTGTGCATTCCAGAAATAACTCCCAGGCTCAATTTTTCTCCAAAGTGCTGCTTCTCAGTTAATTGGATGCAAAAAGTGACATCTTCATTAGCAAAACAAACCTTCATGGAGCGAAGGGCCAATTTTTCTTCTTGAACATGTAATTCATTATTGCCATTTCCAGCTCAAATCGTGGAAGTTCCTGCAGTAAATTTATCCCTCAGTTACTGGAGCATCACCTTCAGTCTACTTTACACTGCTGGGTGATAAATCTTATTTAGAAAGACAGTGAACAAGGCCAAAATTATATGCAGGATGCCAGCACCCCTTTTCCTGCCACTGAAACACAGTTGGTTTTGGTGTGAAACACGGCAGATCTTCAGCAGCACAGTCCAGGGCTGGAAAAGAGCATGGAATAACCCACCAGAATTACAGATGGGCTTTAAGAACCGACAGCATTATTAGGCAAATGAAAAGTTGGGATGAATATAAGATTTTTGTTCTGATGTCTGAACAAAAAGGGGAAGGAAGGTGCTCTTGGGTCACTTGAGGCTGCCAGAAAATCTTCCAATTCTTCGCTCCTTCAACTCCAAATTTCAGGGAGCAGCTGTAACAAAACTATCACTACAAGCTCCATTCCTGTTTGAAACTGGAAAAGCCACCAAACCAAACCCAAACCCCACTACACTTTCTGCGGTTTCTGCTCAAGTCCACAATTGGCATTTATAGGTGAAAAATTTAGTGTTCACTTGCTCTATCTACATATAACAGATCCTGATCAGTGGATCTTTGCACACCTACCTATATGTAAGTTATTTTTATATTTATATATATGTATATATAACACACCTGAGGACATGCACATGTATCTTCACATATGTCTATACATTGGTCTGCACTGCAGAAATAAACTATTAATGCTCATTAATACATTTCATATCATTCACTTTCAGGACTAAGTGAAACATCATAAATATCATAATTGAAATATGTTGCAAGTGTTGCATGGGGAAGGAGAATCCCAGGATCCCTGAGGCTGGAAAAGCCCTCCCAGCCCATGGATCCCCCTGTGCCCAATGCCCACTTGTCCCCCAGCCCAGAGCACTGAGTGTCACATTCAGTCCTTCCTTGGACACCTCCAGGGGTGGGGTCTCCACCACCCCAAACATGTATGAGGTAAAGGGAATGCTGATGGTTAATAACGTTCCTTTCATTTATTTTCTTTTTAAGTTGTTTTGTTGTGGAAATTTGTGTCTGACTCAGATTTCACGTCACCGTTCGATGGAACGTTCACAGAACCATAAAATCACTCAGGCTGGAAAAGACCTCCAGGATCATCAACCTTTGTCTTTGCTCTGAGAATAGGAACTTGGCTTTCTGGAGGACAAATATTCCCAAATCATTAGGAAAACTCTGCTGTAGGTGAGAAAGTGGCAGCTCTGATCCAGGTTAACTCACCAGGCCAGACTTTATCCACGCTCCACGAATATCCACGTGCTCAGCAGTTCCCAGCTGAAAAGACAGAAAGCTGCAGGATGACTAAGGCAGAGGGAGATGCTGCTTTGCATTTCAATCACCCCCAGTTTGAAAGCAGAAAATATTTTCTTGTGCTTGAGTCATTTAAATCTTGAGTTCGGTCAGTCCTCCTTATCCAGCAGTAACCTCTCATGGATCAACATCCTGGCATCACAGGTGCTATATTTAACCTCCTGAGGTAACCACCTGGACTTAGCAAGCATTTTAGCATTGAAAAAGGACATTTCAATACATATTTGTGTCACTGTGTCTTTTTTTAACCCACCATCAGTAAGTTCCTTCTCCTTCTTTCTGCCATCCCCAACTGCGAGGCTTCGCTGCCCGTTTTGGTCTCACGGATAGAAACACTGTGGGGAGTATTTTTACCAAAAAAGGCATATTTGCCAAAAAAATATGCAGTGAAAGGGCTTGGTTAGACAGTGCAAGGGGTTGTCTTTGAATTAAATATACATATACATGTATATATTTCCCTGAGTCCTCCCTTTACAGCTGGAAGGACAGTCTTTTTTATTCTGAATCAAACCAGGCCTTGTCAGGGATTGGGCCTTGGTTTATGAAGGAAAAGGGTTTTTTAGGAGAAGATAAAAGCTGAATTCCACTTTTTACTTCAGTGCTGCTTATCCTCTTTCTCAAAGTATTAATAGAAAGCATTAGATCATAACAAATAATAATCCTGGAGGCAACACCATCAAAATGCTGCGATTAAATCACCTACATGTCTTATTTTCAGGTCTATTTTTTGACCCTGACATGTTGATACGGGGTGAGTAGCAGCACAAGGTAGTAGCTGCATGGTGTGTAAACCAACCACTTACTGTCCTGCCATGACTCAAAAAGACTGTGCTGGAAGAGGAGGACTAAAGGAATATTGGTATGAAACCAAAATTCATTTCACGCTTCTTCCCCATGTTTCTGGACAGAGAAGGAACTGTCGCCTCACTCATCGAATTATTTGGGTTATATAGATTACAGGACTGAAGATTTTAGTATGGAAAGTGTTCAACCAGGATATTTCAAAGACTGAATCCTCGAGAGAAGATTCCAAGGAGGGGGGAAAAAAATCCAAACAAACCCAAACTGAAAATAACAGGAACAAGATGCCAAATATTTGTGAATTTTTTCCTTATGAGATATGATGAAGCAAAGAGAAATCACATGAAGAAATGCACCTCAACCTGACTCCAGCTAGTTGTAGAAACTTAAAAATGAGGTTAATATTTAAATATTAAAATCCCAGTAAAAGATCCCCTCTATTGACACAAGATATTCAGTGTGGCCATCGGCAGGAAGGGTCGTTCCCCTCACATGACAGATCTGTCACAGCCTCCCCTGTGCTTTACTTAGGTCCTTTGAGAATCCCAAAAGAAAATATTTACCATCAGGATGATGTCAAACAGCCTTATTTATCTCCCCCACTAATGTTCCCAGGA